GCCCCCAATGTTCGGGCGATTTCGGCCAGGCCGAAAAGCCACGAACACTGGGCCCCCAATGTTCGGGCGATTCCGGCCAATCTGACCCCCAATGTTCCTGGCTTTTCGGCCTGGCCGAAATCGCCCCAACATTGGGGGGGGTTTGGCCGGAATCGCCCGAACATTGGGGGGGGTTTGGCCGAAATCGCCCGAACATTGGGGGGGTTTTGGCCGAAATCGCCCGAACACTGGGGGCCCCAATGTTCGTGGCTTTTCGGCCTGGCCGAAATCGCCCCAACATTGGGGGGGGGTTTGGCCGGAATCGCCCGAACATTGGGGGGGGTTTGGCCGAAATCGCCCGAACATTGGGGGGGTTTTGGCCGAAATCGCCCGAACACTGGGGGCCCCAATGTTCGTGGCTTTTCGGCCTGGCCGAAATCGCCCCAACATTGGGGGGGGTTTGGCCGGAATCGCCCGAACATTGGGGGGGGTTTGGCCGAAATCGCCCGAACATTGGGGGGCAGTTTGGCCGAAATCGGCCGAAGGTTTAAATATATATATATATATGATAGAGAGGGTTTAGGGTGGGTTTAAGCACTCACACTCGGACAAGCCGGGCGAGGCACATACGGGTTTAGGGTTTTAGGGTGACCCAAGAGGAACCTAGGAATAGAAGCCCTTTTTGGATTAGATGGGCTTATTAAAGCGGCTTATAAGGCAACCTAAACCCTACAGTCACGGAACGAGGGCCTACTCTGGGTCCTCGCGGTTTAGAGGGTCTCGGACTCAAGGTTTCCAGGGACGACATGGTGCTGGGATTGCAGGACAGGAGTACGAGCATGGGAGTCCTAAACCCTAAACCCTAGACCCTAAACCCTAAACCCTAAACCCTAAACCCTAAACCCTAAACCCTAAGGGACCTCAGGGACCCAAAGAGCCCTCCTCTACAAAGATTTGCATCAGGTGCGAGATGAGGTCGTAGTCTGTCGTCGGAGGCTTCACGCAAATCGGCTGGTGCATCCCAAGGTGATGACACCGTGCGATCTCCTGAGTTGGACCCAAAGAGCCCTCGGGTTTGGGGTGCAGGGTTTAGGGTTTAGGGTTTAGGGTTTAGGGTTTCGGGCTTAGGGTTTGCCCTAAGGAATGGCACCTTTATGTTGTAGAGGGATCCTTTGTATGATCTAAGGTATCTTCCTTATTTAAGGGGCTTTAGGGGCTGTCTGGGGACGAAATCGGTAGTGATGTTCTTCCCTCCTGTAACACTGGGGGCGGATCCGCATCCCTGGCATGCCAACGAGAGGGCGCCATGATATGCTTAAACATCCCCAGAGAGCCCAATACCCCTTGATTAAGGAACATGCCTTAAATTATAGAGGGATGCTTAACATGACTTAAGGAATATTCCTGAAAAAAAGGGTATTGGGCTCTTCGGGTCTGCCCTAGTTAAGGGTTTGCTGTTCCCTTTCTTGAACGCCTTTTATAACTGAAGTAACACAGAGCCTTAGACGTCTAGGGTATGCAAAGAGGGGACCCGGGGAGATTTTGGGTTTAGGGTGCGGGGCTTAAGGTATCACCTGACAAAAAAACGATGCACCCAAGCCTAGACACAAACCCTAAACCTCAAACCGAAGCCCGCGGTTGAGGGTTTAGGGTTTAGGGTTTGGGGTTTAGGGTTTAGGGTTTAGGGGTTAGCCCAAAGCCCAAACAGAAACCCTCGGCCCCCCACCATGAACGCAGCTTGCAGCAAGGAGCCGACGGGACTGGAAGGAAAGTCTTCTTTTCCAGCTCCTTTAGGGTTTAGGGTTTAGGGTTTAGGGTTTAGGGTTTAGGGTTTAGGGTTTAGGGCCATAAACAGCATAAGCAGTAGTATTACGATCACTCTTGCAGCACAAGCTAAGTACTACTGCTTCTGGTACTGCTACTGCTGCTACTACTATTACGACGACGACACCTACTGCTACTAAGAATACTAGTCTTGCACCGTTACACTGATTCCCGCAATTGCTACTCATGGATGGCCCTGAAAGCCACCCTTAAACATATTTCTGAATATGAGCCTCCTACATCCGACAAGGGAAAATCTGAAATGTCCCAAGGGCCTACCTAGTACTACTAAGACTACTAGGGCTTAGGGTTTAGGGTTTAGGGTTTAGGGCTCAGGGGATTTCCCCGATGCCGGGAGGGGCTTGCGCCACGCCTCCAGTGATAAGTACAACAATGATGCTCTAGATGTATGATTTGGGATGAAACCCTAAACCCTAAACCCTAAACCCCCTTTATACTAACAGTCCTTAATAGCCAAGACAAATCGCGCCTGCGTGAAGAACTCGAGCTCGGTTGCAAGAGCATCTAAGCCTGGACCCCAGTGCCAGGATTCTGCTTCGGGTTTGGGGTTTGGGGTTTGGGGTTTGGGGTTTGGGGTTTGGGGTTTGGGGTTTGGGGTTTCGGGTTTGGGGTTTGGGGTTTTGGTTCTCAAAGGCAGCAGGAAGAAGTTAGGAAAGGCAATCCAAAAAGGACGAAGATGCACCCATCTGTCGACATGTGGCAAACAAGGGAGAATTGTTCAGCCCAAACTGGACTGTCCCGCGCATGTGGGGCCATTTCGGAAGGGTTCAGGGGGCTCCGGGAATAATATAAGCCTCAGCTAGCAATCGTAAAACCTTGCAGCCAGCCACCCTAAACCCTAAACCCTAAACCCTAAACCCTAAACCCTAAACCCTAAACCCTAAACCCTGAACTTCAGCGGCGAAGTTTGCCAGGCATCCTGAAACCCCGGCATTTGCAGACTGGGCAGAGCCTGGCCTAAACCCTTGTCCAAGAGACTTCGCCACCCTAAACCCTAAACCCTAAACCCTAAACCCTAAACCCTAAACCCTAAACCCTAAACCCTAAACCCTAAACCCTAAACCCTAAACCCTAAACCCTAAGGGCTCAAAACTTGTGATGCCTTTCAGCGGATCTTCTCAGACCCTTCTTTTTCTTGACCCGAGCCCCAGAAACGTAACTTATTTGGGGGGTTGGTTACTGCTACAAGGAACCTTGAATCAAAAAAAAAAAAGTGCCACCGGGCTATCAAGATAGGAAGGATACGTCCTCATACACCCCCTGGGGGGCGGGCGGGGGGGGGGGGGGGGGGGGGGGGGCGTGTGCACAAACAAGAAGAAAACGAAGTTCACACGGAGACTCTAGTATCGGGGCCTGAAGAATTAGAACAGGGTTTTGGGGTTTTTATAGTACAATTATTAATAGAGGGACCCTATAAGGGGATACTATTAGTAAATTCGTCCGACCCCAAAACCCTGGACCCTAAACCCTAAGCCCTAAGGCCTATAAATAAACCGTAAAGCCTAAACCCTAAAGCCTAAGCCCTAAACCCTACGAGAAAGTTGCCGTCTCCGGCACCTTGCTGTGTGGCGCGCCGCAGGCGCGCGCCCCCCCGGAGCAAGTCGAGCTTGACCTGGGCCACAGCGGGCATGCCTCAGAGCAACCGTTAAAACCCTTGAACAAAGAATATGAAACCGTAAACCTTGCACCCTAAACCCTTGGGCGTTTCTTGGGGTTCAAAAAACCCCAACCCCCAAACCCCAAACCATCAAGGGCTAGGCAAGGCACCTGCGGATCGCTGGCAAAGATGACCTCCTGCGCCGATGCTTCCTGCAACGGCTGCTTCCCCAAGACAGGGATCCACCCGAATCTGCTAAGGCTTATTGCTTGTTTAGGGTTTAGGGTTTAGGGTTTAGGGTTTAGGGTTTAGGGTTTAGGGTTTAGGGTTTAGGGTTTAGGGTTTAGGGTTTAGGGAGGGTTTAAGCGCTCACACTCGGACAAGCCGGGCGAGGCACATGCGGGTTTAGGGTTTTAGGGTAGAAAGGGCGCCCTTTTTGGATTAGATGGGCTTATTAGGCAACCTAAACCCTACAGTCACGGAACAAGGGCCTACTCTGGGTCCTCGCGGTTTGGGGTTTGGGGTTTGGGGTTTGGGGTTTGGGGTTTAGGGTTTAGGGTTTGGGATTATCGTCATATATAACCACATCATTACATTATAATTACGTTATACCAAACTAGTAGTATGTTATTTGATAATGGTCATATTAATATGTTCTTTATATGTTGCAATGCTACCCTGTGATCAGACTAGTATATATTTGTTGTATCATATTATCCTAATACGTTGTTCTGTTATTTGGCTAGTCTGCAAAAAACGTGAGTATAAGGTCGTGTTCTACTGACCTCAGGACTTCACCCTAAGGGCTCATGTGTCTACATAGTATATACTGGGGCCCCCAAAAGCCTCTGTCCCGTAAAGCCCCAAGCACATACTATATAGGTACATGGACCCTTGAAACCCCAAACCCCAAACCCCAAACCCCAAACCCTAAACCCTAAACCCTAAACCCTAAACCCTAAACCCTAAACCCTAAACCCTAAACCCTAAACCCTAAACCCTAACCCTAAACCCTAAACCCTAAACCCTAAACCCTAAACCCTAAACCCCAACGTGATGAAAGCTATGTTCTTCACCTCAAGGTGTTGCAGCTGGTGTCGTCAACGTTTGCCAGTTTAAGGGTTTAATGTAGGGGCCTTAAGAATTAGAATAGGCTTTGGGGGTTATTGTAGTAGAATTCTAAAGGGACCATAAGGGAATACTATTCAAAACTATTCCGACCCCTACGTATATGACATGCGCCGGAAGGCCAGATTTATGGCACGGAATGCTTACGATTTGCACTGGCGCTGGCTAAGATCCAGATCCGCGCTCCTTTTCTTGAATTTTGCACTAAGCTTGCACGGAACCTTTCCTGCAAACCCGCCCAAATAAACCCAAAGCTTCCACCTAAATCTGTGAAAGTCCAAATGTTAAGCCTTGACTCGGCAGTGGTATTGAGGGTTACCTAGCGCCATCTGGCGCCTATCGTCAGTTTGCTACCCTTACACAAAAAAAGAGCAGCTTCATTATTGGAAATGTTTACTTGCTTACTAAGGTACAAGGCTAATCTAGCATAACAATAACAATAACAATAATAATAATAATAACAATACAGAATATAGTGACCCGGTGCCAACCCAGCGATGGCCTCCATCAATGCCACTTTCACCTCATCGGGAGCTAGAGGGCTTCGGATTGCTTGCATATGTGTATATATTTTTTATATATCTCTATGTATATATATATATGTCGCAAGTATCCATGTCTATGTGCCTCTATGCGCATGCATGTACAAACCAAATAGATGTTGTATGTACATATATGTATGTGTGTGTAGGTCAGTGTACGTGTGTATGTATGTACGTATGTAGGTATGTGTGTGTGTATGTGTGTACGCGTTAATGTGTGTCGCGGTGTGTGTGCGTGTGTGTCTGTCGGTATGTATGTACGTCTGTGGGCTAGTTTGGGGGAATCGTGGGAAAGCCATTTTGGGGTGCGTGGTCTTGTCGTGTCTACCCTTAAGTGTCCATGTACCTTATGATTATATTATGCTTAGGCCCCAAAGACCTTATATAGGAAGTACTTTAAAGCCCAAGTACTCTCTGTTTAGGTACATGGACCCTTAGGGTACGCAGGGAAATCAACATTGCGGAATGAAAAGTGGCAGGCGCTTTCACGGGACGGTTGCAAAACCCAAGTCCCAGCTTTGAGGCACTCTGTCGGCACCATCCCGTCGCCAAGAGGTTCAACTGCTGGTATTCCCTAAACCCTATAAACCCTAAACCCTAAACCCTAAACCCTAAACCACCCTAAACCTGAAAAGCTGTGCCAAAGGGCACAGGAGCCATGATGGCAAACCGTTCCTCCTGAGTCAGCGGCCATGCTGATAAACTTCTCGAAGAAGATGTGCCCCTGAGCAGCCGGTGGCACGTCGATCCTGGCGGTCTGCCATCTCTATCTCTATGTTCCAAAACGCAACATCCAAACTCTACTTTTAGCATCACAAGGCTTCCCTACAGGAACTTCGATCGTATTCCAGGAATAGCACCATCATCGTCCCCAGTTACGGGAAATATGGCCCTCCCTAAGCCTAAGCCCAAAACCTTTTTGCTCCACCTAAACCCTGCGACTACTAAGGCGTGTTAAAAAACACACACACACACACAAAACAAAACAAAGCAAACAAAACAAACAATAAAATCAAATTGGAATGACCAAAACACAACATAGTAATCCTGATCATCAAGCAAAATGAAATTCTTTCAGTACGCATACTCTCTCATAAACATGCTTTGAAAAGGAGCCCGCGACCCTAAACCCCGGGGCTTTGTGTCTCTCCAGTGATCATCCGCCGGGCCTGTAGCCATAAGGAGCTCGAAGCATTTGCGCCTCAGTGCTTCATCAGGGTAGATCCGTTGCAGAGTAACCCGCGCTGCGGAAGCTACTCAGCCTCTGCGAACCCGAAGGTCCAACCGCCCCAAGTAAAATACCGGACGATCATCCCGAATAGGCCCTGTTGAAACCGAAGCTCCGGCTGCACTCGGACTGGTGCCAGCTACGGAAGATGCGCGTCTCACTCACTCCCTCACGCCTCATTCTTAAAATGCGCGTCTCGCAACAGCAGTGACTTCAGACCAAAACCATCCTAGGCCGGAAGCCCTAAACCCGTTCATGGTACCTACTACCAGTAGCCTAAATTACAGCTGGGCTGTGCAACCTAATAATCACCACGTTAGAAACCCTAAACCCTAAACCCTACACCCTAAAGGGGCTTATACAAGTGGGCTCTGAGTGTAGTCAGAAAAGGAATATACGCATCATGAACCTCCAAGTCACGTAGTTGCCGCGTACCCCACAAAAGGTCAACCTTTCAATTCTGGTAGGATTGGCTTAGGGTTTAGGGTTTAGGGTTTAGGGTTTAGGGTTTAGGGTTTAGGGTTTAGGGTTTAGGATTTAGGGATATACCTCTAAAAGGTTAAGGTTACCTACTCAGCTACTCAGGTAAGCTGGTCCGTAGGCTGAATACCCTAGCCCCCAAAAAGTTTACCTTTATTTGTAATAGGACTCTATATCTATATATGTATCTATAACCCTAAACTCCTAAACCCTAAACCCTAAACCCTAAACCCTAAACCCTAAACCCTAAACCCTACACCCCTGATAACGTGTAAGCCAGGTAGCAGTGGGCCAGCCCTTCCACAGGGAAGACATGGTCGGAAAGATCGTCCTCAGCCCAGGAACCACTGGGAGGATCCCAAAAAGGTAGGGTTTAGGGTTTAGGGTTTAGGGTTTAGGGTTTAGGGTTTAGGGTTTAGGGTTTAGGGTTTAGGGTTTAGGGTTTAGGGTTTAGGGTTTAGGGATCCCTTTAAGGGTTCCTAAGAATGACCCAAGAGTAGTATGGGCTACTATTTGGGGCCAAGGGGTCTGGGAATGGCTTAGAGTTGAGGGTTTAGGGTTTCAAGGTTTTAAATTTGGGAGAATATAGGAACCGCTACAAGGAAGAAAGGGAACATACTACGTAGATGAAGACCGTACTAGAGGGCCAGACTTAATAAAGCTAGCCTCTGCCTATAGGCCGAGGCTAGCCGCAACATAGCCGGGGTAGTTCCGTAAATAACTTTTGCAAGCGTGGGGACGATGTTCCTGCAGACTAGGCACTCACATGCCGCTGAACTTCTCATCTTTGGCTTCTGAAATTCTGAAACTCGAAGCCTCAACCCGTAGGCCATTCAAAGCGAGAGGGCTGGAAAATCTCCGACCCTAAACCCTAAACCCTAAACCCTGAACCCTAAACCCTAAACCCTGCCCAGGTACTGGCAGGCATTCGAGCATGCTCCAGGCTTGCCGGTGCGAAACTCCTCACGCGTACCCCTTGACTAAGGAATATGCTTTGATATATGGGTGGTTGTCAAAACTATGATCCCTTTTGGGGGTACCCTAAATCATAGGTGCCGTATTGTAATAGGGATCCAAAAAGGGACCATAATTTTGACAACCACCCATATATATATATATATATATAGAGGGATCCTTCGTCTGATTTAAGGAGTATTACTGAATTAAGGGGTGTTGGGCTGTTGGCTTTTTGTGGCTCTCTGTCAAGCAGCTCGCGCTTTTATGACATTGGCAGCCAGGGCTCGTTTGTTCGGCTAAAGGGCTTTAGGGGTCTGTGCCATCAACAACGGACTTAGGGCCTTACCCTAAACCCACTTTGCCGTTTTGAGTAAAGAGTTTAGGTGTAAAGGAAGTGTGGGAGGTGTGCGGCCTCGTTGTAAACATCGCCTTTTCGTACACCCAACAAACTGGAATCAAGACTTAGTTGTCCAGTAACCTTGGGGAAAAAACAAGTTTGACCTTTGGGATTTTAGAGGGATAAGAATACCCCAAAAAGGGTTTAAGGTGAACCTTTGGGATGCTATAGGGATAAGAATACCCCCAAAAAGGGGTTAAAGGTTATCTACTCTATTACTAAGAAGAGAAGCGGTTGAGTGGTATGAACCGGGCCTTGGCTTCAGAGGCCTGGCTGGAGAGTGCAGGCCGTTGTCCGGCATGTGACCCCCCACCCAAAGAGCCCAACACCAGTAGATCCTGAAATCAAACTCAGGAACCCTCCATACATTACAGGAACATTCCTTATTTCAGGGGTTTCTTGGGCCCTTGAAATAGCTGGGAACCAGCTGACGCTGCAATTTGGGAGTCTCATTTTTTCCGTCTGGGCTGGGAGGGGATGCCAGAAAAAGCAGCACGCACCCTAAACCCTAAACCCTAAATTCTAGGGTTTGCTGCAAGCCCCGCTTTTCATGAGGGCAGTTCCCTAAATTAGGGTCCCTTTTGGCTCTAGGGTTTAGGGGATTTAGGCTATAACCCTAAACCCTGAACCCTTCAGCAACAAGGACCCCCAAAAAGGGACCATATTTTACAGAACTACCCACATTCACACAGAAGCCTGCAACTGCAATCGCCGGGCTGCGCACGCCGATGCTTCCAGTGGCAAACGCGCGGTTGCCATTTCGATTTTAGGCTTGCCAGCGATTTAGAGTTTAGGGATTAGGGTTTAGTTTGCCCCCACCCCCTGCCTCCGGTAGGTCTTCCATGGCTTTCACCAGTGAGCCACTCACCGCGAGCAACTGGTCATACCTGTTGTGTAGGCTTTGTCTGCTTGCATACAGAAAGGCAGGTACAGGTAATTGTCTGAAAGTATGACTGGACTGTAAACAAAGGCTCAGTCATCTAGAGTCCGCTACATGTCACCATGTTTTTAGCAAACTGGGGGGGGGGGGGGGGGGGGGGGGGGGGGTGGGGGTGGTGCATCTACAAGGAGGGGACCCCTAGTTGTAAATAGAGTTATAAGGACCCTAAATTAGGTTATAAGGATCCTAAATTAGGTGAGAAGTCCCTGAACTACAGTTCGTATAGTAAGGGGGCCCCTCCTTGTAGATCTATTGAGGAATATTCCTTAAATCATATTAAGGATCTCTGCATAATATAAGGAATATTCTTATTTAAGGAGTATTGGGCTCTTTGGGGGTGCATCTAGAGTCTAGAGCGCCAGTCGAGATGGAGTTTGGCAGCGGGCAGCAGCAGGCCACCAAAGGGAAGACCTTTGCTCTCTCAAATGGAGGTGCACTCTAAACCCTAAACCCTAAACCCTAAACCCTAAACCCTAAACCCTAAACCCCATATTCCCTGCGGATGCAGGGTGGCACCTCTTCACGACGGAAGCGGAGGTGTGCTTCAGTTCCTGCCAAAGCTACCCAAAGGTAGGTTTAGGGGCTTAGGGTTTAGGGTTTAGGGTTTATAGGGTTTAGGGTTTGGCTGAACTCCAATGTAGTTCCTTTTTGGGCTAGTTAAGAGGGGATTCTAGTATACTTCCCCAAAAAGGTACTACACAGGAGCCATTGGGTCAAGATCAAGTCTTCAAGCCTGTACTTGGCACCTCAGTAGCCTACGGCTTTGCATTTGGGGGCGCTTGTTGTTTACGAGATTTCGGAAACTCGTCGCAGAAAGACCCGCGCTGCCGTCGAAAGCGCACTGTCAGCAACTCTCCTCTGCGACCTGGACCACATTCCCAATCTGCGTCAGCACCTTCAAAGCCATTCTCCCATCAGAAAAATCTAGAACCCTGCGCTGAGAAGCCTGTTGGTATTTCCTTGGCTTTGTATGAACGCAAAACTTTACATATAAATATATACATATATACATATATTTTTTAGTTGTTTGCTTATGTATTTATTTATATTTATATATGTTTTTTCTCTTCTATATACATGTATGTATGTATATATATACACACATTTTTTTAATCCCAAAAGCAGGGTTCCTAAAGCCCCCAAGCCCGCCTAAAGCTTCAGGGCCCCAAGGGCTGCAGACTTTAGGAGCCCCCCTAGACGGATCGAATCATCAGAGGTCAGCCTGGGTTTGGGGCTTAGGGTTTAGGGTTTAGGGTTTAGGGTTTAGGGTTTAGGGCTTAGGGTTTAGGGTTTAAGTCGTAAGTCGTAGCGTGTCAGAGGACGAAGAGCCCTCTACTTGGAGGTTCATGGGTACTTATTCATCAGTCTACCTATAACCTACTTCGAGGACTAAGGGGGCTTCTATAAGTACCCTGAACCTGCAAGTACCCTAAACCACAAATTATATAGGAATCCTTAAAATGGACTTAAGGTGTATTCCGGGCATGGCCCTGAAAACCCTCTGAAACGACCCCATACATGTGATGTAGGGGCTAGCCTGTTAACCCAACAAGGGATATCCCCCAGGGCCTACCGATAGGTTTACACTGCCTAGAGGAACCTGCATCTATGCCGGTTACCCAGTTTATGATTCGGCATAGGTACCGGTACAGGCACACCATGGCACACCGAAGAGTAGCACAAGGTCAGCCCTGACTGGCCATTTGGCTGTTTCCCAAAACAGGGGGGGGTGGGGTACCCCTTTGAATACCCCAAATAGAAAAGAACCCCCTTGAAAGGGACCCCCAAAATGGGTACCCCTGTTTTCGGAACCCCCATTTCAGCCAAGATGCGCAATGAGTCTTCAAGCTTTCTAAAGGGATTGTGTACTGCTCCTGCCGCGGGTGGGCGGGCAATCAAGATGAATCCCTATAGAATCTGATACAAGGAACTTCCACGTACAGCCAGCGTGTTTCAACATGTGACGGACTAAATTACTGTCTTAAAGGGGTTACATAAGAGGGATTCTATCGGGGTCCTTATAAGGGACCAGAAAGGGGTTTCCTTTAGGGGATCGTAGTAAGTCAGTCCAGGGCTTTTGTGAACACATGTTCAACCCATGTCTACCTTCTGGATCCGAAAGCACGAGCCATTCAAGCCTTGACCTTTTTCGGAGTACAAGGCTAAACCCTAAACCCTTTTTGCTAAACCCTAAACCCTAAACCCTAAACCCTAAACCCTAAACCCTAATCCCTAAGCCCTAAACCCTAAACCCTCACTCAAAGTAAACCTCCAAATTTAGCCCACCAACCGTCCTCCGGAATCCCTGGGCCCTCGTCCGCAGTGCACATATGGATCCTGGGTCTGCGGTTTAGGGTTTAGGGTTTAGGGCTTAGGGTTTAGGGTTTAGGGTTTTGGGTTTGGGGTTTAAGGTTTGGGGTTTGGGGTTTAGGGTCTCCGGTTTGTAGTTTAGGTTAGGGCTTGTGAGGTGTGAGATGTTTGGGGCTCGGAATGTGATTATGCTTTGGAGAGGACGGAGAGAACCGAATCGAACGACATGTTGTCGCGTTCATCGTGGGTTTCCCTGCTACCCCCTCCAGACTACCCTCCCTAGTTTCCCCCCTCAAAAAAACGAATTCGGCTTACTTATCCCTGAATAGCCTTAAATTATCCCCCCCCCCCCGTAGTTAAGGCTTCTTAGGGATAATTAAGCATAGTTAAGGTTTTTAAGGGGGGAACCTAGGGGGGGGAGCATAGAGGGGGGTAGTAGGGAAACCCATGATGACTCGGTCATCCTTCTTCCTCGTTTCGAGTCGTCCCTCTTTTCCGCCCTGGCTCCCCTAATGTCGGTGCAAAGGTCTCTGGGCTGAAGTTCTCTGACACCCACCAAGCCACCCGAATCTTCAACCGGCAGATGACCACATCAAGCGTCAACGCTCTGCTTGCAGTACTTTGAGGTTCATGGTACGTATTCACCCAATTATGACAGTACCTTATAGCCCAAGTAGAACCATGCTACGGCGCTCAGGGGCCTTATAAGTGGATTATAAGTGCAGTCATATTTGGTTAATAAGTACCATGAACCTCCAAGCCCTAAACCCTAAACCCTAAACCCTAAACTCTAAACCCTAAACCCTAAACCCTAAACCCTAAACCCTGTGAAGCTCCAAGTACTGGACTAACTCACAGATTGGGTCGAGCAGATTGAGTCCACGCATCCTCCTTCCCAGAACCCCTGGGAGGATCCAACAAGTAGATCCCCTTAAGGGTTCCTAAACATGACCCAAGGGGTTTAGGGTTTAGGGTTTAGGGTTTAGGGTTTAGGGAAGTATGGGGCAGTATAATCGGGTACTATTTGGGGGGCTCTGCTTGTTAGATCCTCCCAGGGGTCTGGGTGAATTGTATGCTTGTCTTGTGGCCGGGCAACACAGCATCGGCGTTGAAAAGGAGGTGGGGAAGTGCCTCATTGACCTGGCTCAACCCTAAGCCCTAAACCCTAAACCCTAAACTCGCATCTGAGGTCCCCCCCCCCCCCCCCCCCCCCCCGCCCCACCCCCCCAACTTTTCCTAGAGCCACGAGCAGCCAAAGAATAAAACGGGAGACCTTCTTGGTTTAAAGGAGCTTATCAGGGAACCTAAACCCCAAATAAAAGGGAAAAAGGAGCCTACTTTGGGTCCCAGATTCAGACCTCAAGTACTAGAGAGAGCTGTTTCAGTTCTGCGGGTGTCAAGCTGGCTTCTGCATCTCTAGCTCGCAAGGATCATGGTGGCTATAAACCCCAAAACCAAATGCCCTCACCCCCCCCCCCCCCCCCCCCCCCCCTCCCCCCACCACCCCAAGAGCAAAACACACAAGAACCCTAAACCCTAAACCCTAGACCCCAAACCCTAAAACCTAAACCCTAAACCCGCCGCGGCCGACCTTCGCTGCCGTGGCTTCATCCTCCGAGGACCAGGCCCTGGATAAGTTCGCTTCCCCTGTACATTCGGGTCCCCGTGGATCTGGGTCTACAGGGTTTAGGGTTAGGGTTTAGGGTTTAGGGTTTAGGGTTTAGGGTTTAGGGTTTAGGGTTTAGGGTTTAGGGTTTAGGGTTTAGGGTTTAGGGTTTAGGGTTTAGGGTTTAGGGTTTAGGGTTTAGGGTTTAGGGTTTAGGGTCTACTCTCAAGACCTTGGTGGATCTGCGGTCTGGGGGGAAGGAAGGCAGCTTAGAGGTAACCGGGGGGCAGGAGGGGGGAGGGGGGGGGGGATTGAAGGCTTAGGAGTGGCGACCCGGAAGCCCAAGGTCGGTCGGAGTCCCAGGACCCTACCCAAAAGGCTCCCCCATGTAGTACCTTTTTGCGGTAGTATACTAGAATCCCCTACGTAGTACCTTTTTGGGGTAGTATACTAGAATCCCCCTATGACTACACCAAAAAGGAACTACATTGGAGCCTCTGGGTAGGGAGTAGCCTCGAGACCTGCATTCCGCAGTTGACAATGTTTATGAAGATCTTGCCTGGCAACGGCCAGGTTTGCGATAGGAATCGCACTTCACTAGCGAGCCCAGGTACCAGAGTTAGGGACCCCTACCTGCTTTACAGGGTATACTCGAACTTTAGGGGTAATAACAGGGTATACTCGAACTTTAGGGGTAAAAAGGCTCCGAGACACCCCTGGGAAAACACACCTCGAACCGCAGGGCCCTTAAGCCTCAACCATCCAGGTAACCCTTGAAACTATGGGTCCATGTGCCTATATATATGTATATATACTTATATGGTTCGGCCCTTAATCTACTATATGGGAACCCCTTTAAGGCCCCCCCATAATTTCATAAACCGTAATAAGCCCGTCTAGGCACGACGGGGCCCCCAAACGGGCAGAGGGAGTGGGGGAGGCGGGAGGAGGCTTCTGAAGGGGGGAATCAGGGCTGACCCACACAACCCTGAACCCTATAAGCCCCCAAAGACCCAAAAACCTTTACCTCAACCCTAAGCTCGATAACCTTTCTTCTAAACCCTAAACTCGAGAACGCCCGAAACTACCCCTAAACCCCAAAACCCTAAACCCTCCAACGCCCTAAGCCACCCTAAACCACAAGTGTCGGCCCGGGCAGCGGGTGCTTCCTGGCCACAGGCGGCTGCGGCTTGCAGAGGTAGTCACAAAAGACCAAGAGGCGGCCTTGTAGGGTTTAGGGGTTAGGGTGTAGGGTTTAGGGTTTAGGGTCTAGGGAGGGTTTAGGGGATCGAGGGTTTAGGGGGTACTCAGAAAGCCCAGGTAAAAGCCCTGTCCTGAACTTAGATTCAGGGATCCTGAATTCATAGGATTTCAGGCATATTCCTTGATTAAAGGGTACTGAAGTATTGGGCTCTTTGGGCACTTCCTTTGACAAGGCTTGGAGTTGATGCTATAGGGGCTTGGAGGTTTCGCATAGGGCACGGGGTTCAGGGCTGTGCATCAAGGGCCCCCTTGTTGGTCTTCTGCGGTTTAGGGTTTAGGGTTGCAGTGTCAGTCATGGAGGGCCCCCCCCCCCCCCCCCCGCCCCTCCCCCCCCCCCCGAAAGGTCCATAGTTTGGCTTAACAACCCTGGGTGTGAGCACGCAAAGAATGCTAAACCCAAGAGCAACGGGGCTGAACCAAAAAAAGAAATTAGGGTGGTAGAATTAGAATATCGGTTGCTCTTAGCAGTTGGTTTAGGGTTGAGGGCTGATGGGATTTGGGGATCTGTAGGGCTTTTTCAAGCTTCACGAACGGGATGATTACTCTATGCACCCAAAGAGCCCAAGACCAGTTGTTTAAGGAATATATTGTGGATCTCACAAATTACGGCATATTCCTTGACCCCTGAGTCATATTTAATATGGGAATCAGAGGTCAGAGGCTTCCAGAGGGTGGGCTTGGGTTTTTGCCGCAGCATGCGAATCCCCACCGCAGCCATCGGCCCATTT